ATTAACAATCAAAAACAAGTTTGAAGCGTGACGTACCGGCGAACGCTGATGTAAAGCACATAACGACGACACTGACGAATCCAAGAATCGGCTTTTGTTCAATGTTTTCAGCATTGGCCAATGGAGCGTATACCAGCTGCACATCCACAACTCCTACAAACAACCGGATCAAGTGCGATCGAGTAGGAGTGGATTTTCACATCGAATCATACCATGCATGTCTGTTGACTGTTCGAATTTCTATTAGGGCGTGCTACATACTCACTTCTTAACACTGGCGGCGTAAGCGTTTACCCGCTAGTAAACTACTCTCTAGCTGTGAGTCAAAGCACTAGACATGTCGATTAAAGCATAGAAGACTGCGTTGAAGTGGTTTACGATTCCCTGTTCTTGGAGTGTTGGTAGCTCCAATAGGCTTCCGTTGGCCTTCTACCCAATGACGCAATTTGAAAGAATTTGTTTTTGAGGTATTATCGTTATGTAGCCAAAACCGGAGATCAAAGAACGTAGAACTTTTTTTTCGAGAAGGGACAACACAAGAGATTCTTACTTACCTATAACAAGGATAACGAGAGCTATCCATTGATTAGTGGAAAGCTTCTTTCCTAAGAAAAAATACATGAACAAGGCAGTGGTGAAGATTTTCATCTGATACGCAACCTAAAACAAAGTTGAGTACAAAGCGGTGTTTTTTCCTCCATTATATTCATAAATACATAATCAGATCGCTCCAGACATGATTGATTTGGTGTCCCAAATCATAGTTCATCTCATCAAGCTTTAGGACCTGATTCCACAGTTGAAGCTTATTCATCGAGATTTCCAGTTCGAGATTTTAGTTTGAAATAAGCGCTTGGCTCATTAAAACAGCGGTACACTATGTTGGTGTCAGGGAATTTTAGGACAGCGCGATACTGACAGGGATGAATGCGCTAGCACAGGCTTGGTACCAACATCCATTTCTCCTTAAAGGTGGAATTCACGATAAGAACGAAGGTCAAAGAAGGGGAAAATTGCATAGTTGGGAGACAGGCGGACCTCCTGAGGGTGCTGACCGACGCGCAATTGGCAGCGAAAGATTTGACCTCGGCGATCTAGCATGGCTCACTCTTGGCGCGGTTGGCGGGGTACGCCCACCGACTATCTAATCACTCGCCGCAGGTCTATACGTGGCGAGTGATTAGATAGCAGAGAGAGCGTAGTGTTGAAGAGGGCACAGCGATGAGAGTCGCATCAATGCGCAAATCAACGGGCAAGGAAGGGGTCCCATTTCTCGGGTTTCTGGGCCGTTTCAAATGGTTTCTTCTTCATCCCTGCTCCACTGACCACCTCTACCTTTATTCTTTGATGTGGGTTGCCTCGACCATCCCATTCCAAAGATGATAGATATTTCACCACGCCAATGAAATAGATTACAAGAATTGCAGAACCAATAATCATCAACTGAAGTCAAAATAATTGAGTACTTTTGCTGAGCAAATTTTTGAATTCCAGCGTTCATAATTTTGCAACACCCTATATAATCAAAATTTCATCGTGTTTCTTCACGAGCTAACTTACTGTGTGTAAGCATTTACTTTGTTGAAGTGTTAGTGCATGTTCTATCTTGCAACAGTCATGTACTACTTTTGTACCGACTACAATGAAATGCTTCCGAATGAAAGCATATTCACTTATTTACGTTGTGGAATCTCAACCAGATCAACCAAGCACTCCATCTCTCGAGGACCGATCAATTGATACCAGGCTTATATGAGGGGATGAAAGTCCTGTCCTGGCTACTATAAACCCTCGCCACTCATAGTTTAGGTCATACCGCATTCATAGAGCACTACGATCCTGAGTGGAAGTGCATGAGGCAAAAAAGGGGCACATCAAAGCCAGAAGCTTTGTCCATTGTCACCCGTTACTGGGAAATGAAATCTACTCGCGATTCCAACTATGAGCATGACCACGGCAAAATACTGATTCATTTGCATCTCAAGGAAAACTAGAGCTCTGCGAAAATAATTTTGCAGACGGGAATAACTCACACAAAACGTAGTGGCTTCCAGGTGCGGTGAGTGCGATATAGTAGAGATTGTTCTGGAGAGTGTAGATTACTGCCGGTATACACACTTTTACTGTTTCAACAGGATTGTCATAAATGGCCTCCTTCAGCTCGAAGGAAAAATCTGAAAGTGAAACACATAATAGTCCTCCTTTATGAACGACCTGTATGACTGCTCAGTTGTACCAGTTGAGTAGTTATGTGGCAGCTCGCAGGAAGTTCCCTGTGTTCATTTCGTGCATGAAAATCTGCGCGACACTCACAAAAGTGACCCACTCAGGCTAGTTGAAAATTGCTCAATTTTTCAAGTAAATAGGCATTTGATTCCTGCTAATTTTCCATGTCTTTAAGAAATGTATTAGGTCGGTCCACAATTTTTGAGAACCTTTGGTGTTTTTCGATTTATTACTTATCTTATTTCTCTGATCTACTTATTCCAGCATAGTATACATCACCATTATTACCAACATATCACC